ATTTTAGTTTACTGGGGAAGAATATACATATATATTTTTTCTATACATATTTGTCATTTCATATACACACATACACACACACATATATTTGCCATGTCAAGCATTTTTATGTGTACCATTCAGTGACATTGATCCCATTCATCATGCTGTGCACCCATCCATGGTCCTACTCACGCAGAAGTGCCTCCATCTAAGGGGAGCTGCGGAGTGGGCCGTCAGAGACACTGCACGAAGCTAGAGTTTGAGGGGACACTGATCTGTGCTTTTCAATCTGACTGGCTATCTGTGACACTTTGATTTAAATTATTTAAATGAAACGTAACATCCGGCCGTTCTATCCCTGGTGGTGCAAATAGCCGGGCTCTCAAGTAGCCTCAGAAGGTGAGTGGTTCAAACTCACCTACAGGTGCCTCGGAAGACAAGGCTCTTGGAAGGTCCCAGCCCTGAATAGCCTATGGAGCCGCTCTGCTCTGCACACGCTGGGCTGCCTGGAGCGCAGATCTGTTGGACGGCAGCCAACAACAACAGCCGCTGCGTATCAAGTACTAAATAGACACACGTAAGGCTAGTGGCTACTGTATTGGACAGCGGAGGGCTGTAGATTCATCATCATAGAAAGTCTCCTGGACAGCACTGATACAGATGATATTTGAAATCATGGGCCTCTCACCTGGAGAATCAGAGAGGAGAGAGAGAAAGAAAGAGGAGAGAAATTTAAAAATTGAGCCTTTCAAAAAAGTGTTTCTGTTTGTGTATGCCAGTACACAGATTGGGTGTGATGGAGGTATGGTAAGGGCAGGAGTCCTCTGTCTCCCTTGGTATAAACTAAGATCGCCAACTGCATAAGGAGGAGAGAGACATCCCAGGCACCGGGAGCAGCTCATGTTAATGGTGGTAGAGAATAGCCTGGTGGGGCCGGGGAGCTGGCAGTTTTGGCGGCAGGCCATATTATTTTAGTATAGTTGTGGGGGTGGGGGTGGGGGTGGGAATAAAACAAAAACACGCTAACTTCGTGCTTCAACAATTTGGGACAGCATCTGACGTGGAGGCTAATCAGTCCAGGTCTAATTGGAGGGCAGCGGGAGGGGGAAAAGAGGAACCCTCTTCGCCACTTGTAAACGGCGAATGAGAACAGATGTAAGAGTTGAAGGAGATGGCTATTGCTTCCCACCGGTTTCTTTCAATAATCAAAATTCATTGCAATACTCATTTTCCATTTCTCGAAGCTGTCTTCAAAAGACTGGAGGTTATCTAAGTTGGGTCTCTGTTGGAATTGGGGCAAACTGGAAAAAGCTGATGCAGCTCAACAGTCATGGCTTTGATGCAACCTAGTCACATACAAGCCGTCGCCAGGTTGCATTCTGGAAATCGATCATTTCAGAACATGGTTTTTGAAAATGGCAGTTTATTTTAATAGTGGGTAGCTATCCCCAGACTACCCTATTATTTATTTATTTATTTTGGGGTGTGTGTGTGTGTTTTACTTTACCAAAAGCAATAATTTAAGCCACAGAAGGGAAAAACACACCAGGAAAACCTCACACAAAATTGCTTTTAACCAATTAAATTCTTTCCATCTACTTGTGTTTGGAAGTAGAATCATTTAAATACAGAAGAATTACATTAGAATCAGAAAACTTTAAAAAGTAGAAGCTCACGTTGTCATTCGAGGCTGCTGCAGTTACAGACCCCAGTCATTATTTCCATTATACCTTCCTCCTAATTTTCAGGCCTTATTAGCCTGGCTGTAAAAACTTGCTCCAGTCGAAATTTGGCAAGCGGACAAGGCTACATGCCAGAAGTAATTTACTATCCGGAGCAGCTCCTAACGTAAAAGAAGCTATAAATAATAGGCAAAAGAAATGAAAAGTTACTGGTTCCAAATAATTTAACGTGTGTCACCTCAAACTTTTCAGCTTTTGTGGTGAGACATGTGAGATAATATGAAAGGTTTGCGACGTGCAGATGCTTCGCATTCGCATCAAACGGAGAGCCCCGACGTTCTTAGGCATCAAAGACCAATCTGTGTCCATCACTGCCTGCTCCGACTTTGAAGTCTACCAGAGGGCGCAGTGTGGGAGACGGAGGCAGGGGAGTCCAGCCGAGGGGGGAGGGGATTCCAGGTGCTTCGTCTCTCGTTATAGCTGACATTCCGCACTTCCGTTTACCCAGTACTAGTCCTGGAGGGCTGGTGGGAGAGTGTGCATGCTCCTCTGATGTTTCCAGCTACTGAGTTGTCCCTGCACTCGGTCTTTACAGGTGACGTGACAGTGTGAGTATCCCACGGAAAAGTTCAAGTTTACTTTGTAGACACAACTAAAGACTTTGAAGACAAGCGCTTTGATTTGCAAACGTCTGAATGCGGCGCATCTAGCCGGCTCTTTGACACAGTCTTTCCACCTTAAGTGAAACTTTCCTTCTTTGTTTTGCAAACTGGCTCTAGAGCACCGAGATGGGGGTCAAGGATTTCTCCAGTCTTTGGGGATGAGCAGGGTACATCTCAGGATAAATCTTCCTTGATTATCTGGAGGAACTAACAATAGTTTATATTTCAGAAATGTAAATAATATGCTGTGAACTAGAACGCACATGAGTCCACATGCACTCTTTCGGGGAGGAAAACGGGCTTTGATATTTGCGTTTCAATAGTTCTGGTCCTGCCTCATCAAATGTGTAATAGCTGAAGGTCTTGAACTGTACCCTCAAAAAGATAGTCTGGTGATATCTATTTATCTATATCTATATCCTTTTGAATTAAAGTATAATTTCCTCAAAGTGCACAAATCTTAAGTGAATTCTTAGGCATACAGGTGAACTCTTAGTAGAGTTCTTTGACGAACGTTTACAAACACATGCACCCATGTACGGACCATCCAGATCAAGTATTTTCAGCACTCAGAATGCTCCCTGTGCCTTCCCAGTCAGTCCTTACTTAGTTGACCTCTAGGGTGAGTTGAAAAAAATTGACAAGACTAAGAAAACCGGAAAGAAAAAAAAAGACTAAGAAAACCTCAAGCTTTCCCAGGGGCACTTTCAAACTCCACATGCCAAGAATGCTTTTTCCCTTGAGGGACCCTGAACTAGAACGGTGTAGTCAGCGAAGGCTTCTGAGATGGAGTGGAACTTGTGCAAACATGATTGCTTCTATGGGATTGTGCTTTCTCTAGTAGATGCTTTTGACCTATTGAAGGGCTCCTTCTTAAGTTTAGTATTTTAATAATATGTATGCATTGTGATTGAGTTCGTATCTAAAGGCTAGTACATGCTAGTCCTAAGCGACGGTCGCTGTTCAGAGTGAGGTGGGCAAGTGACAAAAGAAGTTTTGTTGTTTCCATTTTAATTCTTCGAGCAAGAAAACATGCAAGTTAAGTTTCAGAATAAAAAAGAGTACACAGTTGATTATTAAAAATCCTCATTTACCATTAGCAAGGTCTCTATCAAATTTGCCTTGAAAGATTACAACCATTGAGTTGTTCCTGAACTCAGAATCTTTAGACGTGACATGACAGTGTATTTCACAGAAAAGTGAAATTGAAGCTATTAGAGCTTCCTAACTTCCTTAGGAAGAAGTTAAATGAAGATGTATCTTCACTTATTTGTCATCATTTATTTATTGAGTATCTACAATATGCTATGAAAAAATAAATCGTCACCCAGTCAATTCTGATGGTTACAATTTTCTAACTATCTAATGAACAAGAAAACAAATAAATAAATAAAAACTGTGCTCATAGAGATCTAAGCATCTAACATCATCCACATTCTTAAAGATAATATAGAGTGCAAAGATTTTTGTATAGCAAAGACATTTCACCTTTGTTTTATGTGTTTTGACCCACTCTCCTAATGTCTTAACAACTTAAAACATCAAGAAATGAGGAAATCTAAGCCCACCTTTGCCTTAGTTCAGAGACCAGCAGGTGAAATGTAAAAGGAAACAGAAGAAAAGACAGAGAAGGTGGCCCATGGTGAATTACTAAGAGGATTTGCTTTCATAAATCGCAGAGGATCAAGGTGTTGAAATAACAGGTCTAGCAAGAACTGCTAGGGCTTTTTTAAAAATCATCTTCTGGAACTTAAATAGAACTGAGCCATGTCGTTATTGTTTTAGGTTAAGGAATGACACGAGCAATACTGATTTCCAGATGGGGTACCCAAGGTAACTTACCAATTTTTCAATGCCAAGATCCCCCTTTCTAAATATATATAGTGAAAATCAATGTGTCACACATTTTTTAATAAATCTAGTGGAAGGCAAACGAGTGTTTTTACTTAATGTAGCCAAAAGTGAGTCCATTAGTCAATCTTAGCTTCCCTGATGATCTTTATTAGTGACTTTTGGAAATGTTTATTGTTATTATTATTATTATTATTTTTAGGTTCACGTTTCTCTTTTATTATAAAAACACACAAGTTTTAAGAAATGATGAGTATAAGACAGATCGGGAGCACGGTGAGTTATTAACCCATTTTCTATATACAAATACTAAGATTCCCAAAGTGGAACAGCATCCAATGTGAAGCACATTATAGCACTGGAGGTACAAGGCACAAACGACCAAGAGGCCATCTCGGAAGCTTAGATACATGCCGTCCACACCTGGGTATTGTTATTATTATATGTTATCCTATCCTCTCTTTTTTTGGTATTGGAAAGCGAGGATGTAGGAAAGGAAGGGGAAAAAGCAGGCAACATCCTGAGGAAAACTCATTTCAGGATACCTGCAGGTACCTGCTCCCGATCGCAGGCGCCTTTTTGAATCCCCGCCCACATCCAGGTTCGCGCGCACCTAGCCCCGCCCCATTCCAGCCCCGACTCTCCAATCGTCTTTTTTCCAGTCTTTACACCACCCGGAGGGGTTTCTGCTGCAATTCCACATTGGGCCACAGGGAGGTGACAGTTTGCAGAAGCGCCTTCCCCGCCCGGAAGTGACGGAAGCGGAAGAGGCGGGAGCTAGCGCGCCGGTTCCGCGTGTGCGTGCGACGTAAAGACGGGTTCGTCGGAGTGGGCAGTGGGCTGCTTCTGCGCGTGTCGGCGGGTGCGGCTTTTCAGACTGTGGTGCAGCGTTCGAACCTCATGGCGGAGATAATCCAGGAACGCATAGAGGACCGGCTCCCGGAATTGGAGCAGCTGGAGCGCATCGGACTGTTCAGCCGCGCGGAGATCAAGTGAGGGAGGGCCGCGCCGGGG